GTCGAAGGTCCATCTATAGTTTATTTGTTTTAAGTGGATTGGGGAAAAGGTGAAGTTTTTCTAATTTGAAAATTGAAATATGTATTTTTCAAGGGACTCTTGAAAGATATAACTTCCAATTGATGCGCGAATGTGCCCTTGGAAATTATAGCTAATGGGAGATAGAAGAGACAAAAGGAGAGAGAGAGAGAGAGCGAGAGAAATGTGTCAGCATGGAATATAGGTCAACAACTATCAAAAATCATTCACACTCCTTGTAAATTTGATGTATTCGTAACTCAAGAATGAAAGGTGGGACTGGTTGATTGACGGCCCTTGTTGCATACTTTTAGATATAAGCTTTAATAATATCACATTCTTAAGAAACATAAATCGGGAAAAATCAATCTTTTCACATACTTCACATTTTTTATAAAGCTTGGTATTAAAGCCAATATAAATCGAAGGAGTGAACGAGAGAGAGAGAGAGAATAAATATGTTTATACCGTCGATTTAGCGCCTTTTTTCTCATTTTCTATAGAGACGTGATGCTAAGCTTCATGTTATTACAATGTGCACAATTTTGTTACCCGAGTTAACAAGCGAAATAAGAACAACACGAATTAACTCACGCACTTACACACGCGCGCACTCACTCACGCACAGGAAACGTAAGAAAACCGTATGCCTACGCAAGGCGCGTTACGTTTCAATTTCGGAAAATGTATTTCACTGCCTAAATTCCCTTGATGAAGGAATCAGATGCAATGCCCACCCATCCCTTTTTAAAGATGAAGTTGAGTTCTGGTCATGCGATTGCATTGTGAAAGAATCGATCAGAAAAGGTTCATCATCTAGCATATAAGAATTTGTGTGTATTGCAAGGTTCTGGAATCATCAAAATGATAAGAAATTTGGCCAAGTCTTGGTAAAGTTACAAACACTGTACACAGAAAGATGTATATGGGACTACACGAACACGTGGCGTAAAAAACCTACCCCCGAGTTTTACGATGAACATGACATATTTAGAATATGAAGGCATTTAAAGAGCCATGCTTTTCAGGGAACATTTCTTATCTGATGTTCTTCCACACTTGCATAATAAGAATGATAAAGTTCACAAATTATTTTTCACCTCTTCCCAGAACTCAACCTTCTCTTTAAAGCTGAGCTTTTCGACGTGCTTCGAGAATCACTTTAATCTTCTCGGAATTAAAACCATCAATCTTCTATGACTCGTGATATCTGTACAGCATGGTGTTGTTTCACGCTGTCAAATGTCGCTTCGTTTCTCTGGGTTCTTGCCTTGCCCACAAAATGTCTTTCGACCAATTCAACAAAAAAAACTTAAAACACGTTTAGTCAGCGTGGTCAAAGGTCCTCAATTCACCACGGGACATTCTTCAGAAATTATGCTAAGAGATCCCAAAATACCTCGTAAACATTTCTTTAAAAGTATTTTTCATTATTTGATATTCGGTTTGATAGGACAGCATGTGGGAAAAACCACACCTGCCTGGAGTCTGTACAAACAACTTTACGGTTCATCTTTTAAGGTTTCCGGGTATGAAAGGAATTCTTAGTGCTATATTAAGGCTAATTCTTAATTTACACCTGTTTGTAATAATCTTAACGTTTCAAATATATCTTTAATGGCAACGAAACGATTCAACGTATCAATTTGTTTTCCATCTCCTCGCTTGATAATTTAAGACAATTTGTTATTTATAGCGGATTGGGAAAACATGCTAATGGCATATTTTATAAAAAAGTTTGTTGCTTATTGACGCTTGCATGAATCTTGATGATTTTTATCTTGAAGCCATGACTGGAGTATAGTGACATGCGAAGAGAACTGTGCAACGCTTTGTAACTAACTGCAAGGCAAAACAGCACTGTAAATGATGATATATCTTTTGATTGGATCGCTTGAAAGTTGTTTCAACTAAAATAATGAATAATCCTGTTTACACGATAATGGTAATACTAAAGATAATGATAATATTGATAATAATAATTATGATAATAAATATAATATAAATAATAATCATCTGGGTTCGTATAGCGCTTGATAATTCGACGATGTATCTCAGCGCTTTATAGAGTATTATTACCCTATCATCAGATCCAGACTTTCCCGCACACATTGTATGCACATTCTCCACTCCTTAGGGAACATTCCAGACAGGCGCCATTTTACAGACGCTCTTAATGCTGGGCAAACTACCATGACTTTCACATCCTACCGGGTGCCCATTTAACCCCTAAAGTAGGTGGAGAGTGGCAAGTTAATAAACGTCTTGCCAAATGACGTTGATGCTGGGATTCGAATTCAACCCTTGAATTGAGAGTCGAGCGAATGAAGCACTATTCCACGACACCTCCACTTTTTCTCCCGAATTCTCCCGAGCAACCTTTTGATGTAGGTGTGGATACTTTGAAAAGACCGAAAAAACGTTCGTCTCTTGAGATGAGAATAATTGAAGTGTTGACATTCATTAATATCTGAGGCACTTAAAAGACCTTGCAGACACTTGCGCCGAATTAGCTTTTCGCAAATTACTTTGTAAATGATTTACTCGATGCCGCAAATTCAGTCTGGGTTCGGGTTCGTTTTCAGTAGATTTTGTCAAATATTTAGGTTGTAGGTAATGTGAAGTTGAAGGACAATTAATTAACTACTGGGCCAACATATCGGACAAAGTTGTTTCAAATACTGTCGATTTTCCGGTTCTTCGACAATGTTCCGGCGACTATTAATCCGTCGTCAGTTTCCCACACTAATAATAATAACTGTTTCTTATAAAGCGCTTTACCAGTTACAACCTAATATATTACATTATTATTACCCCGGTCACTGGATTATCATACGATTCTGCAATTTACGGTGCACTATCCACTCCCTATGGGAGCATTTCAGCCAGTCGTCCCTTTACGGGCGCGCACATGCTAATACAACCACATTGTCGTTCGCATCCTACCTGGTACTCATTCATCACCTGGGTGGAGAGGAGCAATTTAGATAAAATGCCTTGCTCGATGGCATATCAATTAGCAAACCGCGGATCAAACCCACGGCCGTTGCATTACCAGTCGAGTGGTAAGACCATTGCCTTTGACAACGATCTCGAATCTCTAACTTTAAAGGTAAAGACCAGTATTGGCAACGCCCCAATTTCAAAAAATGAAATGGAAGCTCTCATTACCAATCATGTGAAAGAATATGTTTTGACTAATACATGATGATAAAAAATTTGCCGGGAAACCGCCTACTAATTCATATATTTGGTAAATTTATTTCTCTCATGGTCTGGTGAGAGAGATAGGGTAGTCCCATATACATCTTTCTGTGTATAGTGCTTGTAACTTTACGAAGAATGGGCCAAATTTCTTATCATTTTGATGATTCCAGAACCTTGCAGATGCTAGATGCTAGATGATCAACCTTTTCTGATCGATTCCACAACGTTTCTTTCACAATGCAATCGCATGACCATTACTGGTCTTTACCTTTAACTCTAACCCTAAATCTTACATAGAGCACAATCTCAACTCTTGTCCAATCCTGGATCACCTTATTTCAGTTTAAACATATATCTGTCCATGAGAAGCCATTACATACAATTAACATGGTAAATTTCTCTGTCTCTTTTCGGCTGCACCTTGGTGTTATGTAGAGTTAATTACGGGCGAGGCATATTCTTTTGGGGGTTTTAGTTTTTGTTTTGCATTTAGCTGTGAAGATGAAACACGATCTACAGAGGCAATTAATTCTCCTTGACTCCATCATGCTTTCGGAGACGTGCGAAACAGAGTGAGATCTCGGGAGAAAGGCATTCTCATCTCGATCTAATGACAACATTACCATAAAATGTCACAACCATCTGTTGGTCATGGTTTATAACGTTCATTTGTTGTAAATTAAATGACAACTTTACGAGGCGAGAAGCACTTTTTGTGTCAGTCCGGTTATAGCACGATCTGGCACGATTACTGATAAATGTAGCGGCTAAATGCTGGTGAAGTACTCGATCTCTCTTCCGTTTTTTCTTGACATCAGTTGTATTCAAACGCACTGTGCTGCTTTTACGAAGACGGTAGACTTTGAGCGGTGATTACAAATACTGTTTGTTTTGGGGGTCTGTTTCAAGAGTTGTAAACAAACAGAAAGAGATACAGCGAGTAGTTTTTTCAACAACTTTTAAGTTCATTGTGTACCATTTATTTATAAATTGTGATGTAGTTATACATGATTTAATGATGATATATTTCTTTTTCTGTGCAACAAAGTCGTAAACTGTTTCGTTGCTGGCCATGGATATTCACTAATAAAGAGCTCCGCTTGAGAATGGGGTTATGTGTCAGTGTGTGTGTGTGTGATTAGATTATTCCGCACAATGAGAAAGTTAGCGAGTTTGTATAGAAATACAATTTCTTCTTTTCATTCTTTCACTTTTTTCCTTTAGCGTGATATTCTCTTTCGACTGATCACCTAGTCGGAGATAAAAGGATGATATATGCTTGTGTAAACGATTATCAGTAACACAGGCTTGTCCTGCGCATTCAAAATACCCTTAAGTCCCCACTGCACTACTTATAGCTACTTGCGCCCTCTATATAGCAAACAATGCCTAATCGGTGACCATTGGTCCCCATGGTCACCTTTTTCTTATGTAATTGAGAGCTTATTTGACATGCAGGGATGTCTGATCCCTCCTGGCCAAACTAGTGCAGAGGGACACACAAACGAACAAATAAGGGGGCAAACAATGCCAATTGCGTCAAGTGTTCATCCTGAGACGCTACTGGAACAGTTTATCAAATAATGTGAAAAAGATGTAGCAAAGTCTTAAAACCTCTTCAAATGCACATGTTTTCACATTATACGTAGAGAAAGTGATACTAATAAACCTTTTACTGACGTTTTGCGTCATGTTACCGACGTTTTGCGTGAGGGATCTAACAAAGCTGTTATCTTTTAATATGTTATTCTTTTTTTCTTTTTGATTCACACCAGACACGTGAATGCTTTGCTGGAATGGAAGAGATGGGTATGGGCGAGTTCTGAAGAGAGATTAGCACTTATCGACGACAGGAGACAAGAGATTTCCAAGTAATTAAATTCGAAATACCTCACTCGGCCTTGCCATTACAACAGTTGTCACGCCGACGTCCTTGCACTACGCCAACTGTCTTGTAGATCTATCTCTCGAGGCGTATGAGTATGAGCCGTCTCGTAAAGTGTGCTAAAATGTAGATCGTCTCAACAGAATTAAGGAACAGAGATTACTTGAGAGTATAATCATCTAATTAAAATTTGCCTTGAAGCTACTTTTCTCTTGCTCTTGAAAACAATTTGTATCGCAATATGAAGTATTATCAAAGGTAATACAAAGATTTGGGAAATTTTGAAAATAGGCAGGATAGTAATTCTTTACAATTTTGATATATTTGGATGCCCCTGTGAATGTATTATAACCACTAAAAATGTTAGCCCCTGAAACATTTTACCTTCGAGAAAAATTGAATATAAAAATTTACCGGTGCTCCCGGTAAATGTTGATAAATTTCAAATAGCGCTTACGGCCATACAATGGTAGCGGCGACCATGAAAATCTCAGAATATGTAGTTGTGATATGTCATTTCCAAACGGGAATAGCCGATTGGTCAATTTTAATCAAGAAACATTGTTTTATGGCTTAATTAATATCTTGACCTTGAGAGGGAGCTATACAACATGAAGAGTTTATTAGTTACAATTTCATAACTTAAGACTCGGTTTCAACCGCGACAATGATCATTGAATATTGTTGGATCGCATATGCTTCCAACATGTTCATTTGAACCAAATTCATGACCCCAAACCAAAACTTTTTTATTACATTTAAGTACTATCGAAACTTAATAGATAATACAATCATAGCTTATAAGTAAGGCCGTGGTCTCATTCGACCTGCGTAGCCGTATCGCACACGTAGGGCAGTAAATTTTCATACTGGCCATTTTTTCTACGTGGGCAAATTGTACCTGGGAGTGGTCACATCACCTGCGACCGGGAAACAATGCAATTAATTTTTCGAGGTGTTCACGTGGGTGCTACGTGGTAGGTGCGTAGACTGATGCACAAATCCTAACTGTACAAGTTCTACCCACGTGCCCCCCCCCTACACACTTGCCCCATGCACCACCCAGGCGGTAAATTGTGCATGTCCTCTACGTAGAAAACTTAGGCTACGCGGGGGTCAGGTCGCTTGATGTTACTTTCGTAATGCGCGCGGGCCACCCGCGGATGGCCATTATAACCCCAACATCTCTACGTGGACTCCTCGCTACGTCTACGCGGGTCAGATACATACGTGTAGAACCTTTATTGCGCGTTGTTGCCATTTTGTTACATATTATATGAAAACAATAATACATTTCTTCATATCTGAAGGCTCGACTTTTTTGTATTTTTTTTTACCATTGGCCAATGTTCTTTTCCCTCTTTTCATCCATGCAGTAGCGAAGTCCAGGCCGAGCTTTTGCGGATTCGAAACTTGACATGTATCCTTCAAACACTTAAAGATAAAGTTGAGTTCTGGTCATGCGATTGCATTGTAAAAGAAACGGTTTAGAATCGATCAGAAAAAAAGTTTATCATGTTGCATATAAGTATTGGTGTGTACTGCAAGGTTCTGGTCGGTATATGAGGTGGACCGTTCGCATAAAAAAAAATTCCCAATAGAATTACAGTCCCAGCACCCTCCCCGTTACGATATGAACACCTTGTGATTATCAATGTGAATATATCCGGTAACGAACCCCGAAACATTTTGTTGTGTCTGACCAAAACCCGATATGGCAAAAACCTCGAAGTTTAGATAATGACGTGATCATTCGTGCAATAGAAATCCATTTGAAAGCATAGCACCACTGTTTTTAAGGTGGAATAAACAGTGACACCTTCTACTTAACTTTATAGTCAGATGTATCAATGAAAATTAGTTTACCTCTCTTTTTGCAGGTATGTTTTGACAATTGTCTGAGTTTTTGCCTCGTTTCCCTTTGTTAAATTAAACAGAGAGTTCTTTTCCACATCCTATGTGTAGTCTAGGAGTCTTAGTCCAAATATCTTTATCTTAGATGTGTTTAATTTATACAACTCTTTTCCAGTCACCCAAACCATCCAGCTAAAACTGTTCAATAATTTGACTATTATATATTTCTTATTTGGTCTGTTTTCGTTGTTTTTCTTCTTTATGCGTTATGTTCTATATTTCATATTTGATACCATACCTATTTGTTAAAAACAGATATCCTAGATGCTCCAAATATCTTTCTCTTGAATGTGTAATATAACTCTTTTCCAGTTTCTCCAACCATCCGGCTAAATCTGTTCAATAATTTGACCATTAGATATTTCTTATTTGGTCTGTTTTCGTTATTTCTTCTTCTTTATGGTTTGAGGTATGTTCTATATTTCATATTTGATACCATAACTACTTTGTAAAAACAGATATCCTAGATGCTTACAATCAGGGATCCGAAAGGCAGTCAAACGCTTTTACTGAAAACCAAGGTAAAGAGGGAGACACAACACCTTGTGCAGAGATTAATCGCAACGGTCACACCCTGGAGCACTCCGATCAAACACGTAACGGAAACCTCACCAAAGAGGACATTGCGAAGGCGTTACATGCTACTGCTATGACGGTATGTGATATAGAAGGACTGCTTGAGAATCAGTGATTTAAAAATACCTGAAATGGCAACGTCATTTTAACAGCAAAACAGAACTCTTAATGATTGAAGTGAATGATCTACGCAAGGGAGAACACTTTTTTTCTTTCTAGGCAGGCTTGCTGTCAAACTAGGGGCATGTTTTCCGGCTATGCAATCTCTCATCGTGTCATCCACTGGAAGCCTTAAGGCGTGTCTTTTGTTGCTATTACATCTGTAACACCTTGCATGGTGTTGTCACTGCCAAGGCTGCGATTGGTCGACTCTCGTTACCATGGGTACGGTGTACAATTGCCCATGAGGGCGGTTGTCTTTTTAATCGATCCTTCATCACATTTGTAAACATTTCAAGAGCTCTGCTTATCTTTACGTTGACGTCATATCGTTCAAGTCATATATCTATCTGATGTCAACGGGCTCTCAATCTCATTCTTGGATACGATCAACAACAACAAAAATCTTCCGTGATGACATTTAAAAAAACACACAAAGTAGACAAGAAAAGAAAGTTTCATAAATTCTAGAACTGACTAAAAACAATCAATTCTTATTTAACTTATTATCTTATCCCTTTGCATCATACATTTAGATTTTTTTTTGTATGTGTTTATTGCATTGTAAGGAGTGTTCTCAATCCTAAACTTAATCATTTTTGCAAGGACATTGGGGGGGGGGGGGGTGATTTTACCAAATCTGATGACATGTTCTGTGTTTCATTGGGATATTTCGTCTACACCACCCCTCTTAAGTCAACTTTCACAAACATTTTTCTTTCTATCTTGAGGAAATTTATTGAATCTTTGAAAAGTAAAGATGAATTGTAGTAAGTAGCTTAATACGAGTGACCTCGTGGATATATGTGTCATAATGTAAGGCCTTATGTTATGTTATGTTATGTACCCATCTACTCTTAAAGAGAAAGTTGAGTTCTGGTCATACGATTGCATTGTGAAAGAAAAGGTGTGGAATGGATCAGAAAAAGTTGTAGTATGTAAGTATCAGTGTGTACTGCAAGGTTCTGGAGTCATCAAAATCATAATAAATTTGGACCAGTCTTGGTAAAGTAACAAGCTCCGTACACAGAAAGATGTATATGGGACCACACAAATAGTGTCGGCCGACGGGCCTACTTGCCTTCATTTTCTTATCTTTCTATGCTCATTACTTAGCCAGTATACATTTTTTGTACCAAAATTGTTTGGCAAATGACATTTATTTGTAATCTTGAACATTCAGTATAAGTTTTTTTTGATTCTGTGAGAATTAATTTTTTTAAATTTTTTTTTACGAGAACTCAAATTTATCTATAAATGTTAACACGGGAAATAAAGGAATAATTTGTTATCATATTTTTGTGACTTTAGATACATGTACATGTACAACTTTAATATATAAATCCGTTGCAAATACAATCATGAAAAGTTTTTTCTGAATGCAAATTATTTTATTTCCTCTATCAGGAAAGTGGATGTGATTTTTCTCGAAAGTTGCGATGTAAGAGTTTCATCGCTAATAGTAATTGGAAGTAGGCTGTTTAAGTTCACACGAACTTATACAAGAGGTGCGGCATTGCTAGAACGGTACGTCATTCTTATATGAGGACAAAACTTTTCATTTGACTTAATTGAATCATTGTAAGAAACTGCCTTAATTTCGGGAAGTATGCTTGACGTCATGAAGAATCATTGACCGTTTTGCTATTACATAACACTCGTAATATAGAAAAAGTGGGTCGGTTAAATAATGAGTAATTATATCATATTCAATTAGGGAATAATAAGCATTAACCAAAAACTAACTTTTCATGTGACTGAATTGAATGATTGTAGGAAATTGCTTTAATTTGAAGTTGAAGTATGCTTAACGTTATTAAGAATCATTGACCGTTATGCTATAACCTAATACTCGTGAAAATAAAAAAATAAAAGGGCGTTGTTTAAATAGTGAGTAATTATATCATATTAAAGTGACTAATAATAAACATTGAAGAAAAAAAAATCAGCTTTTTATTTGGTTTAAAAAAATGATTGTAAGAACTTGCTTTAATCTTAAGTTGAAGTATGCTTAACGTTATTAAGAATCATTGACCGTTAGGCCTAAAAAAAAAAAATTGATGACTTGGCGTAACCCGCCCGACCCTATTTTTATCGCCGACCCTACGCTTTTTTTTTTTTTTTTTTTTTTTTTTTTTTTCTTTTATTTTTTTATTATTATTATTTTTTTTTTGATAAAGGATTCTGAAATACTGGAGACATTTTTTAACTGTTTGTTATTACAGAGCCATTCACAATTGTAAATATTTTCACAAGTTGTAATTGGCTACTCTTTTCAACCCTCATTCTTCAAGATTTTGGATACATGTTAACATGTTAACATGTTAACCTCTAGACAAGTTATAAAAATGCTAGTCAATACATTGTGAAAATACTAATATTTGTGAACAGCCCCTTCTAAACCTACATATTCACCTGTTTATCCTGTTGAAGACAGTGTCTGAGATATCTCAGGCTGGGGTCTGTTGGAAACCTATTAATGCGTTCGTATGTTTGCATTTTATGTGCATGAGGGTGTATGTACATGTATGTATGCAGGGGGGGGGGGGGCAGGTGTATGTATGCATCCCCCAGGTCCCAAGGTGATCAAGATTTCAACAATTTCTTGCTCACTTTGCTCACACAGTGTGTGTGTTCATATATGTGTGTGTGTCCATATATGTGTGTGTGTGTGCGTGGAGTTATTTGAACATATTGTGGTCTACCCCTCTCATCAGATCATCCCCAAGGTCTGAGGACCTATCTACGCCACTGTATGTATGCAGGGGCGTAGACAACGGGGGGGATGAGGGGGATGCATCCCCCCCACCTCACAAGGTGGGGGGGGGGGGATGGCATGTACAATCATCCCCCCCAGGTTTTGGGGAATGATATTTGCTTACTTAATAAGTCATAATGATGATAATAATAGTAATAATAATAATGATAACAATTATAATATTAATAATAATAATAATTATGATGATGATAATAATAATCCTCATCATTATTGTTATTGTGTTTATTGTTATTAGCCGCATTCACACGGTGAAAGCCAATTCAGACGGTAAAAAAAAGAATATCTTACAAGTATTTTGTGGTTATCTTGTGGTTTAGAAACCACAAGATAAAACAGGCGCGGATCTACGAGGGGGGGGGGGGGGTTAGGGGGTTTAAACCCCCCCTCCCTTGGGCGGCCCAAAAAACAAACAAAAAAAAAAGGAAAAAAAAAGAAAAAAAAAGAAAGAAAAAAGAACGCACGCTGGAGAGAAACCCTTTCAAGTGCAAATATTGTGAGAAGATATTCAACTCATCTGGTAACTTAACCAAACACATGATAACTCTGGATATAACTGTGTATTTAACTGTTACTTGATTTAAAAAGACGTTATCATGCACTGCTTTTTATAGTCTCCATTGTGTTAATAGATGCCAGGAAAACATCACTTACGGGGTTCAAATAAACACCCCCAAAAAAATCGGCTCGCCGCTTCGCGGCTCGTGGACGATGCTCCGCATCGTCATTATTGGTCAACCCCCCCCTTAGCAAAAAGCTAGATCCGCCCCTGAGTCATCCCCCCAGGTGTACGAACCTGTCTACGCCACTGTATGTATGTATGTATGTGTATGAATGGCTAATTTCATGTATGCAAATATAAGCAACAACAACAACAACAACAACAACAACAAAAAAAAAATCGCCCTACCTACCCTAATTTTCAGTGACCCGTTACGCCAAGTCATCAATTTTTTTTTTTAGGCCTTGTGCTATAACAAAACACTCGTGAAAATGAAAAAATAAAAGGGCGTTGTTTAAATAATGAGTAATTATATCATATTAAAGTGACGAATAATAAACATTGAACAAAACAACAACAAAAAATCAACTTTTCATTTGGCTTAAAGCTTATCAACACTAGTGTGGCTAGGAGGGATTAGACCACACATCGATGTCACTGACAGGTGGCTATCTCGTCAATTCAGCTCTCAAATAACATAAGAAAAAGAGGATCATGGGGGACCAACAGGCACCGATTGGGGAGGTTTTCTATATAGAGGGAGCAAGTAGCTACGAGTAGGACAGTGGGGCTTAAAAGAATGATTGTAGGAACTTCCTTTAATCTTAAGTTGAAGTATGCTTAACATTATTAAGAATCATTGACCGTTATGCTAGTACATAACACTCGTAATATAGAAAAAGTGGGTCGGTTAAATAATGAGTAATTGTATCATATTCAATTGAGGAATAATAAGCATTAACCAAAAACTAACTTTTCATGTGACTGAATTGAATGATTGTAGGAAATTGCTTTAATTTGAAGTTGAAGTATGCTTAACGTTATTAAGAATCATTGACCGTTTTGCTATAACATAATACTCGTGAAAATAAAAAAATAAAAGGGCGTTGTTTAAATAGTGAGTAATTATATCATATTAGAGTGACTAATAATAAACATTGAAGAAAAAAAAATCAGCTTTTTATTTGGTTTAAAAAAATGATTGTAAGAACTTGCTTTAATCTTAAGTTGAAGTATGCTTAACGTTATTAAGAATCATTGACCGTTATGCTATAACAAAACACTCGTGAAAATGAAAAAAATAAAAGGGCGTTGTTTAATTAATGAGTAGTTATATCATATTAAAGTGACGAATAATAAACATTGAAGAAAAAAAAATCAGCTTTTTATTTGGCTTAAAAGAATGATTGTAAGAACTTGCTTTAATCTTAAGTTGAAGTATGCTTAACGTTATTAAGAATCATTGACCGTTATGCAATAACAAAACACTCGTGAAAATAAAAAAATAAAAGGGCGTTGTTTAATTAATGAGTAATTATATCATATTAAAGTGACGAATAATAAACATTGAAGAAAACAAATCAACTTTTCATTTGGCTTAAAGCTTATCAACACTAGTGTGGCTAGGAGGGATTAGACCACACATCGATGTCACTGACAGGTGGCTATCTCATCAACT